AACCTAACCATTTATATGGGCAGTTCGATAGCTAAATGTGTTTGCTTTCAAATTTTAATGGCGCTATTTATTTACGGTATACATTTTCATTTAAATGAGATTTTGTCCAAACTTTGCTCTCTAAAGGCAAAATTTCCTATATAAATTCCATTTTCTCAATCATTTCAAATAAAACCTTAAATTCTTTTACAAATTTAAAATAATTCATATTAGTGATGATGTAAACAAGTATTAACGTATTTTCGTTACGAAATAAATATAAATAAAAAATAATCAAATAACTTGAGGTTACCGCTAGGCCTTTCTGCTGCTATTCATTAACTATCAAGATTATATATATGGTTTTCAACTTAAGTGAAGTATAATAATGGTATGAAAACAAAAAGCGGTTTTATGCGATGAATTCACAATTTGAAAATATTTTGTTGCATAAATTTCAGCTCAAATGTATATTAGTAGTAATATAATATTAAATTACTAACATATGTACATACATACATACATAGGTCTGTAGATAATATAATTTTTATATCTATTCATATTCCGTTATTTCGAAGCCTACATACTTTCCCATAAATAACATAAATGCAATACATATATACCCGTATATGGGTATTTAATAAATAATATTCAGTTAGATTAAAGCTAACTACATGCAAATTAAGAATTTTTACTACATTACGTATAAATACGTAAATATTTATTATTTTTCTGTTAATTTATCATTATTTTGTATCTTCGTTTAATGTATATCGTGGTCCTGAAAAGGACCGTTTTGTTAGATTTTCATATTTGATAGTAAAAATGGTTTAACCGCCGAATCCATACAAGGTACGTCCTTGTCTCTTCAAAGCATATACAACATCCATTGCTGTAACTGTCTTCCTTTTAGCGTGCTCAGTATAGGTGACTGCATCACGGATAACATTCTCCAAAAATACTTTTAAGACACCACGTGTTTCTTCATATATTAAACCAGATATACGTTTTACACCTCCACGACGAGCCAAACGCCGAATAGCAGGCTTAGTAATTCCCTGGATGTTATCACGTAAAACTTTACGATGACGCTTAGCACCACCTTTACCCAAGCCTTTTCCACCTTTGCCGCGACCAGTCATTTTCTACTTTTACACTTTTAACACTTCAACACTTTTACTTCTTGAACACTGCACGCTCTATAGATGTCTGTGAGAACTAAGGTATTGTACGTGTATATATACAAAAATTTACAACAATCAATGTGGCTTAGCTATATTTAACCCCCACCAAAATTTATCAAATTGTGGCTTAGCTATATATAAAATTTTCATCTCTTTCTAACACATGAATATAGCTAAACAACAATCCACCCCGATAATATGAACTTTTGAAACGTTATTAAGCATTTTATTACTTGTACACATATTATTGGTGTATAGAAAGATATATTAGTGCAGTGAGTGTAGTGAGTGTTTGATTAAAAAAGTGTAATAAAAAAAAATGGCTCGTACAAAACAAACAGCCCGTAAATCGACTGGTGGTAAAGCCCCACGTAAACAATTGGCAACCAAAGCAGCTCGTAAAAGTGCTCCTGCAACTGGTGGTGTTAAGAAACCTCATCGTTATCGTCCCGGTACAGTGGCATTACGTGAAATTCGTCGTTACCAAAAAAGTACAGAACTATTAATCCGCAAATTACCATTTCAACGTTTAGTACGAGAAATTGCTCAAGATTTCAAAACAGATTTACGTTTCCAAAGTTCTGCTGTTATGGCTCTACAAGAAGCAAGTGAAGCATATTTGGTCGGTTTGTTTGAGGATACAAATTTGTGCGCCATTCACGCAAAGCGTGTCACAATTATGCCAAAAGATATTCAATTAGCCAGACGTATTCGCGGAGAACGTGCTTAATTGAATTGAAGAAGATATATATCCAAACGGTCCTTTTCAGGACCACAATTTCTCAACGAAAGATCAAAAATTTATGTATTTATTGTAGATAAAAATGAATTTAATTTCGAAAACACACAATGCACAGAACTGTACATGTGTACCACCATACGCATCTAGTGTTTTTCGTAATTGCCTACCTACTATACTGTACCGTACGCTGTATGTACAGATGACTGTGTATACTATACTAACACATTCATGTATTATTATATGTGTATCGTATGCAACCGGTTTTGTATAACTAGTCAAGTTTTGTTACAAACGTACTTTACATATAAAAATATTTACTGTGCATTATATTAAATTAAATAAAAATTTTAGCGAAATATATATATAAAAGTATATACGAGTATGTAGTTTTTTAGAAAATAATATCAATCTCTTTGAATGTAAATAGTTTGTCGTCCTGAAAAGGACGGTTTTATTCTTGTGTTTAGATAGTATGTTAATAATAAGACTCGTCGAGATACAAATTTATGCTTTTTTCTCAGTCTTCTTTGGTAAAAGTACAGCTTGAATGTTTGGCAAAACACCACCTTGAGCAATAGTCACTCCAGATAATAATTTATTCAATTCTTCGTCATTACGGATGGCCAATTGTAAATGACGTGGAATTATTCTAGTCTTTTTGTTATCACGGGCAGCATTACCAGCCAATTCAAGAACTTCAGCAGCCAAATATTCCATAACAGCAGCTAAATATACGGGAGCACCAGCACCAACACGTTCGGCATAATTGCCTTTGCGCAACAAACGGTGTATACGTCCGACGGGAAATTGAAGACCAGCACGATTTGAACGCGACTTTGCTTTTCCCTTCACTTTACCTCCTTTACCACGCCCAGACATTTTCTATATACTTATTTAATACACCAAAAGAAAATAAAAATTAATCTTCACTATGCACACTGCACTGCACAATTCACTTTATTAAAATTCTACTAACACACTGCTGATTATATACTTTTTCATTTCATTGACTTCTACATCCATTCGGCTTCGTGACACTTCGTGTCGGTTTGTCCGATTACTCGAACAGTTTGTCAATAAAAATGCTATATGATGAGTAGAGAAACTTATTTCGAAAAGTTTAAGTGAAAAAGTGAAGTGAAAAAAAACATGCCTCCTAAAACTAGTGGAAAAGCAGCGAAAAAGGCTGGTAAAGCCCAAAAGAATATTACTAAAAATGACAAGAAGAAGAAGCGCAAGAGGAAGGAAAGTTATGCTATTTACATTTATAAAGTGTTGAAACAAGTACATCCAGATACGGGTATTTCGTCAAAAGCCATGAGTATCATGAACAGTTTTGTAAATGATATTTTTGAGCGTATCGCTGCCGAAGCATCGCGTTTAGCTCACTACAACAAACGTTCAACTATCACTAGTCGCGAAATCCAAACTGCTGTTCGTTTACTTTTGCCTGGTGAATTAGCTAAACATGCTGTGAGCGAAGGTACCAAAGCTGTCACTAAATACACAAGCAAGTAATTTGTTCAAATGATTTTACAACGACTAGCAAAAGGCCCAGTAATACGTAACTG